GGAATTCACAGTCAAGTATGGAATATGAACATGAAAACAAATAATTGAAGTATATTGTGATAAATAGGGTAGTACAAATATGTATGAAATGCTATATATCTCGGAGAAGGGAGAGCTAACTATTCCTACACAGAGCAAGGCCACCAACAAGAGGTGGCCTTGGGTCTTGAGAGGCACCTAGCATTCTAAAAATAGCATGAATTTTAAAGTTAGACCTAAGTTTGAATTAGCTCTGATACTTACATTAGTCAAGTTACTTAATTTCTGTGAACCCTGGCTTTTTCAATTATATAAAATATAGTTAATATGTGGGGTTTTTTTGTGGTGGTGTTTTAAAAATTAGTAGGTAAAACATCTAGCATAGTGTCATAATCACACGTGTTCTTACAAGTGGATGTTGGTTCCTTTATTGTTTTCATTAATATGTTAATTATTACTGTTGATGAATTAATAAGAATTAGGTGCAAAATAAGTTAAAGGGATATAGACTAAGTGAGGAAGGATGCCAAAGCAGGAGAGGTCTAATAAACTGGAAGAATAGAGAAGGCTGAGTTTTTATTTATTTTTTTATTGAGGCATAACTTACACAGAAAAGTTAAAGGCACAACCTTTTGAATTTTAAGTTACATATAGACCCATGTAGCCACTTTCCAGAACCACAGAAGAGTGCCTCTTGCCCCTCCCAGTCAATTCCTTCTACTAACAGAGGTAAACCACCCTAACAACCTCTACCCCTATAGATCAGGTTTGCCAGTTCCTGAACTGTATATAAATGGAGTCATACAGTATGTGCTTTTTTTTTTTTTAATGGAAAGACATGGCTTTTTTTGCTCAATATTGTGTCTCTTGTTTTCTGTAGTAGTAATTGGTTCTTTTAATTACTACTACATTGCTGTGTAACATTCCATTGTGCAAATATATTCATTTATTCAACCTTAATAACCATTTGAGTTGGCTTCAGACTTTGGCTATTACGAATAAAGCTGCTGTGAACATTTTTGTATCTTACTTTGATGAATATACACAACCATTTCTGTTGGGTATATCTGGATTAGAATTGCTTTGTGTTAGAATATCCATAAATTCCGCTTTAGTATGTAGTTTCAAATAGTTTTCCAAAGTGGTTATGTCCCATTATACTCTCACCAGTAGTGAATAGAGTTCCAGTTGCTCCACATTCTAATCTGTACTTGGAAGGTAGTATCCCTTTAATTTTAGCCATTTTGGTGGGGATATAGATTTCTGTATCATTGAGGCAGTTGGGAGGATAGTAGGAAGAGAATTTACTACCTAAAATCACTAACAAGGAAACTTGGTAAAAAGTCATGATCTGAAATTGCTCTGCATTATTAATAATGGTCAATAATGTGTTATAGGCTTCAGAATTTTGTCTATAAATACCACTTTTTTAAAAAAATAGAGGAGTAATTTTAAAGTAATTTTGAATCTCCACACATGGTAGAAAATAATAATTCATTAATATTAAGAATTACTTATTACAGGGGTGCCTGGGTTGCTCAGTTGGTTAAGCGTCTGCCTTCGGCTCAGATCATGATCCCAGGGTCCTGAATTGAGCCCCACATCAGTCTCCCTGCTTGGTGGGGAGCCTGCTCCTCCTCCCACTGCCACTCCCCCTGCTTCTGCTTGCTCTCTCTCTCTGTCAAATAAATAAATAAAATCTTAAAAAAAAAAAATTCTCCCTCACCCTCTGTCCCTCCCCCCATGCTCACGTGCTCTCTAAAATAAATAAATCTTAAAAAAGAATTACTTATTATAAAATGTTACTCTGAATAAATATTTTAGAATTTTTAAACTGAATTAAGTAACTTTGGTTTGCTTTATACTAAAGTCTAAAATTTTGGTAAGTTATTTAAAATTTCATGTTGCATTTATGAAATAGTTTTGTTTCCCCCTAGTATTGGGATTGAGTGATCCTCCTTAACAGAGTTGGGGGGTGGGGGAAGATACCTTCTTCATATTACAGAAAACAATGCAGTAAAATCTCTGGATTAGGAAATTGGAATGGATTTGTTTTTAGCTAATAAAAGCCAAATAGAGAAAAATGGTATTATTAATATGTTAGAAATAATTTTTAAATGCTTCAGGCACTGGTGCTACTGATGATTATTTAAGTGCTGCTTTATGAATAATTATGTATGCATTTTTAATATAGGCTTTTATTGGACTTAGAACAAATTATTATAGGGAAGAGTTAATAATACTTGCCCTCAAAAGTAGAAGGAACATCTTTAAGTTGAGTACTGCTCCTTTTATACCCGCCACGCAAATTTCAGTATTAACATTTCTCTAATTGTACTTTTTTTTTTTTTTTAGATTTTATTTATTTATTTGACACAGAGCGAGAGCAGGAACACAAGCAGGGGGAGAGGGAGAGGGAGAAGCAGACTTCCTGCTGAGCAGGGAGCCCAATGCGGGGCTCGATCCCAGGACCCTGGGATCATGACCCAAGCCAAAGGCAGATGCTCAACCGACTGAGCCACCCAGGCACCCCTCTCTAATTGTACTCTTAATAACATTAATCTGTTAATTGCTTTTGGCATAGTGTTATGTTAATGTGTTACATGATTGCAGGGATCTGTGCATGTTCATCCCAGTACATTCATGTATTTTAGATTCATTCTTTTAGAATTTGTATACAATAGTCACTGCCGATGATCATCTTAAGAGTCAACATGAATTGAGGGCGCCTGGGTGGCTCAGTTGGTTAAGTGGCTGCCTTCGGCTCAGGTCATGATCCTGGAGTCCCGGGATCGAGTCCCGGGATCGAGTCCCGCATCGGGCTCCCTGCCAGGCAGGGAGCCTGCTTCTCCCTCTGACCCTCCCCCCTCTCATGTGCTCTCTCTCTCTCTCATTCTGTCTCAAATAAATAAAATCTTAAAAAAAAAAAGTCAACATGAATTGAATGTATACTATATGGAAAATACTATGCTAAATGCTTTCTAATGGATCCTCATTTAATTCTCACAATAAGCACATTGTTAGGTTTTTAAGTCTGTCCCTCAACCTAGATTTATTTTCTCTAGTCCTTTATCACCAATTCTAGAATTGTTTCTGATTTGGCAAGAGGTGTTAAAAATATGCTGGGTTGGTTCTTTCAGTTAGGATTCTTTATTAGAAAAGAGTTCACTAGAGGGGCGCTTGGGTGGCTCAGTCAGTGGAGCAACCGACTCTTGGTTTCAGCTCAGGTCTTGATCTCAGGGTCCTGAGATCAAGCCCCGCCCATGTCGGGCTCTGCACTCATGGGGGAGTCTGCTTCTCTTTCTCTCTGTCTCTCTCTCAAAATAAATAAATCTTTTTTTTTTTTTTAAGATTTAAAAAAAATTTTTATTCATTTGAGGCACAGAGATAGAGCAGAGAGCATGAGCAGGGGGAGAGGCAGAGGGAGAGGGAGAAGCAGGCTCCCTGCTGAGCCAGGAGCCCGACATGGGGCTCAATCCCAGGATCCTGGGATCATGACCTGAGCTGAAGGCAGACGCTTAACTGACTGAGCCACCCAGGCATCCCATAAATAAATAAATCTTAAAAAAAAAAAGAAAAAGAAAAAAAAAAGTCAGTAGAATAAAAGCTCCATGAGGCCTGAGTTCATGAAAAGTGCTCTAGGAGCACAGAAAAGAGGTATTTAGCTTGATGTTGATGGGTTCAGGAAAAGACTTCATTGCCTTTGTAAGCCTTAATTTATTCTAAAGAGTTATACTACATATGATCCCTTAGAAGGGTTTTAAACTATAATAGTTTAACACTGTATGTTTAGTCTAAGCTTTTGTACCAATATACATCAAATATAATGTATATTTGAAATTGGATGACTTATATGCATTTGCTTCTTAATGCCTATATGCTATATAGTAATACTAAAATAATAACAATGTTTTTTAAAGGTTTTGAAAGAGGAAAGGAAGACATTTCTCAAAATAAAGATGAATCTTCACTTTCTATGTCAAAGAGCAAGGTAAGCATGTGTTGTCCCCAAATACATGACTATGGCATTTTTCTAATATTTAAGAAGAAGAACAATAAAATTCTATCAGATTTTTATGGGATGTTTTTATGTTGGTATATCTAAATCATGCCGTATATAAGAAAAAAGGAAAGTTCCACTGGGGTTGATGTCGGTCCTGTTGGTTACTTAGAAATACAGCCTATTGGTAACCAGTGTGTTCTCTCCAGAGTTATATTGCTTCTGATATGTCTGTTATTGTAGTACTTCTCAGACTGAGAATTCCATTCGGAGAAGTTCTCAGGATTCCTTGTGTTTTGTTTTGTTTTGTTTTTTAACTCTTAAGTGTTTTGAGTTTATTTGAATGACAGTCAAAATACATACATTTTGGGGCACTTGGGTGACTCAGTTGTTAAATGTCTGCCTTCAGCTCAGGTCATGATCCCAGGGTCCTGGGATCGAGGCCCACATCGGGCTCCCTGCTTGGTGGGAAGCCTGCTTCTCCCGCTCCCACTCCCTCTGCTTGTGTTCCTGCTCTCGCAGTCTCTCTCTCTGTCAAATAAATAAATAAAATCTTAAAAAAAAAAAATACATACATTTTACCAGTTAAAGGCCAAAGGTCTCTTGCAGTAATGGCCTGCAATTGAAAGACATTTTCTTAGAATGAGATACAGTTTCCTAAATTAGTAATTCTCAAACTGGGATACTTGTATATATTTTTACTGTTGAGAACTTTTTCTTTAAGAGTATATATTCAAATTTGAGAAACACTATGTAATACATTGCTTTTCCTATGGGTTTGTAATTTCTCTAATATTATATATAGAATATATATATTCTATATATAATATATTTGCTATAATTTGTTAAAGAATTTGACTTCTGACTGTTATTTCAGGTTCTGAAATAACAGAGACAGAATCAAAATTGATTCCATTTTGTTTGTGGAATCAAACTTCAGTGACTGTCAGAAAATCTATTTCTTAAGCTAGTGTATTCTCTGCTGTTCTCAGCTAATGAGAGCTGCTACTCATTATTTTTCTGCCACAGCTCCTAGTCTCTAGCTGTCCTCATGGGAGCAGTTGTGGCATTCCACTGTGGGAAAGAAACTGTTTACATGATTAAACACCTCTTTCTTAACAAAATAGAAGTGGGCATATGTATGACGAACAGAACATGAAAAAAACCTACATTTTTGTTTCCATGCATGACAGTGGTTGAGAAGAGTGCATGATTTTTTTTAATGTATAATTTTATACACACTTTATCCACACTTTTCAAGTATTCATTACTTAAATATCATATGTGTAAAAGTACTTAGGATAGAAGTTTAATAGTACCATATATATATATATATATATATATATATAACATACAAGTAAGAAATTCCTTGATCATTTTATGAGATGTGTAAAGGAAAAATAATTTATTTTGAGTCTTCAATAGCTAGAAATATAATGAAATTTATAGAACTTTTTTAAACCTATTTTCAAGCAGTTAATACCAGAATTGTTGAATATGTGGTAGAACAGTATTCCTTCTCAGAAGTCTAAATACTTAAACCCCACACTTATATATCATAGCCACCTATATGTAGTCTCTAAATTGGGGGGAGGGGAAGAAGGAGGGCAGGGAGCCTGAAAAGAAAATTTACATACCTTAATGAAGCAGGGTGGATTAATGAAAAAAAAATAGGCTTTAGAACTGTACTTTTAGGGGCGCCTGGGTGGCTCAGTCGGTTAAGCCACTGCCTTCGGCTCAAGTCATAATCCCGAGGTCCTGGGATCGAGCCCCGCATTGGGCTCCCTGCTCTGCGGGAAGCCTGCTTCTCCCTCTACCACTCCCCCTGCTTGTGTTCCCTCTCTCGCTGTCTCTCTCTCTGTCAAATAAATAAATACAATCTTAAAAAAAAAAAAAAAAAGCAACACATACATAAAAATAAATTTAAAAAAATAAAAACAGAGCTGTACTTTTAATAGCACCAATCATTCTGGACTCTTTAAATTAACTAAAATCAATTGAAATTAGAAGTTCCTCAGTTACACTAGCCATATCTCAAGTGCTCAGTAGCCATATATAGCATTTCTGTCATTCAGAAAGTTCTGCTGGGCAGCACTGTTTTAAAGTCAAAAAAGCAAATTTGAATCTTGATTCATATATATTACTTGTGACTTCTTAGATACTAACTACAGTGATATTAATAGCTATTTTGTATTAAGAGCTTACTGTGTGTCACCTTAACTCTCATAACAATACTAAAAGGTGGTAGGTATTATTGGCCCCATGTTCTAAGTGAACAAACTGAAGCTTAGAGAAATTAAATGAGGGTCAGAGTGGTAAAGCTGGGATTCAAAATGGCTTCAGTTTTCTTATCTGTACAAAGGAGAAAAGATCCACATCCCAGATTGTGATACTGCAAGTGCCTGACAGAGTACCTGGTTAATAGTAGGTATTTGAGAATTCATCTTCTTTTTTTGAATAAGAATTACAGTGGAGGGACACCTGGCTGGCTCAGTTGGTAGAGCATGCGACTCTTGATCTTGGGGTTGTGAATTCAGGCCCCACGTTGGACATAGAGCTTATTTAAAAAGAGAGGGGGAATTGCAGTGAATGAATGGGATTCTTAACATGGTAACTAGTGTAAGTAAAATTGTTCTTAAATCCTGATATTTTCCAACAGTTGAAACCTATTGATTCTATCTTAACTTAGATTTAATCCTTGTTTATTCTGTTAGCTGAAGAGATGCATAGTCACCAGTTTGTCCTTAAATATTCTAACACATAACCCAGTCTTATTTTTCACAACAATCCTAAAATTTATACATTTATCATTAAACCACATTCTCATGGAATTCTGAACATTTTAACCTTACTTAAGTAACTTCAGGAAACAAAGTTTTGTTATTCCTTCTGTAATCAGTGTGCATAACTGAGACAATCCTAATTTTAACCTTATATTTTTCTGAATTTGATGCAAAAAGTATTAATACTGCCATTTTGGTCATAGGATTTGGGATTATTTCTTAAAATACATGATTAAGACCAGTAAGCACAATGGAATACACTTTTTTACCCCCCCATTTTTAAAAAAATACAGTTTCTATTTCTCATGCATCCTATAAATGAGTGGATTGGAAAAGTCAGTTAATCAAATCCCATCTCATCTTGCTGTTAGCGTTTTTAAATGAATTTTTAGTAGTCCATCTCAACAAAAGGAATTTCCAGCATGGGTACTGTGTCTAGTGGGATAAAAGTAATCCTACTACAAGGGTAGTGGTTTTTGAGCCCAGATCTATTTATTGACTTGATTCTCCAGGCATACATACATCTGTTTATTTATAGGGATGCTACATGTCTATCACTTGATGTAAAAAATATATTTACCTGGACATTTAAAAAACCCTTCCAAATCAGGATATCTGATCTAGTCATATTAACATGAACATTATCCCTTATATCTGTAGTATTTTGTAGTTTTCAAAGCAAGAGTAAAGTATTCTCATACATAAATGTTCCATTTATTTAAAGGCCAGATCTTTGATAGCACTTACACTGTAGAGGATAGTCACAAACCTGAAACACAATATATACCAAGTAGTATGTTAAACACATCATGCACACTACCTCATTTAACCCTCAGAGCAATCCTACAGGTTAATAAGAGTATCCTCATTTACAAACAAGGAAGCTAAGACTGAAAGAGATTGAATAACCTCCTGAATCACGCAGCCTGTAAGAGGACAATAGTTATGGGGGGAAATGAAAAGAAGGAAGGAAAAAGAAAACAACCTACTGAGCATTCTAAGACCATTTAATGAAGAAACAAACAGTACTATATATTAAACCCTGTGGTGATCATTAAGATCGTGTTCAGTAAGGTTATAAAAGAAGGACCAAGTTAGTTTAGTAAAATATTTCCAACAAAAATAGTTTGAGTTTTGGTATTTAAAAGGAAACCTGTTAATACAGAAAACTTTGGTATAGTGTATTTAAAAAGCTTGTAGAACTTGGTCAGTGGATTTTTTTTCCCCCCAGAACTGGCTACACAGAATGGCAAGGATTCCTTGAAATATGTGTTCTCTAAAATTTACCAAGCTCAGATGACCCCCTTCTGGCCTGCAGGTGCCTTATATTCTAGAATCTTTTAGGAATCACCAAGCCAGATCTTGTCATGTCAGGGAAACATATTTCCTGTTGTTCATGAAGATAAGTCTTAAATTTGAGTCTGGCTAAAATTCTGTGTAAATAGTTTTAAAAGGTAAGAAATCATTACAGTGAAATGGCTAAGAGCATGAGACTGGGAATTAGGTAGACCGGGGTACAAATCCCAGCTCATCTCCTTATTGGCTCTGCAACTTTGGAAAGTTATTTTTAATTGGTTAGTCTTGGTTTTCTTATTAGCAAAAGGGAGATATTATTACTATCTCATAGGGTTGCTTTGAGGATTAAATGAGGTAGTGCATGTGAAGTGTTTAGGAAAGTACTTGGTAAAGAATAAGTAGCCATTTCTGTTAGCATTTATTCTTCATTTACTAGTGTCTAAGAAGTATATTATAATACACATTTTCCTCTTAAGCTGTGAGAAATAGAAATCATCCTCTTTTTCTGACAGTAGCTGTGCCATCTTCAGGTTCTCGGGGGCAAGGAGAAGACAGAGACTGTTTGGCTTGAGCAACTTTGTAAAATTGTTTTGTTATCACAATCAGTGTGCCATTGCCATGAGAGTAAGTACTATGATGTTTCAAGTTCAGTTCTCAAAGGAGTGACTTTAACAAAAATTTAATTGGGTTAATCCCCACCTTCTGCATTGTACATAGTTTGTAGTTCCCTTCTATCTAGTGCAGCCAGTTATTATCATCATCACCATAATCACCCATATTTCGTACCAAGTAGCAGAGGTGTTTTTTCAGAGAGGTAAAAGAAATGAGTTGCAAATGCTAGTTTAATTTTCATTTTATTAATTCATCAGATATTTAGTGAGCCCTTTCTTTTCCCCAGGTGATAGCTGTGTCATTGGTGAATAAGTATGGTCCCTGCCTTCATGGTTCTTCAAATGGAGTGAGGGAGTTCATACCCAAAGTTTTGTTACCTGTAATCACACCTAGTGCTTTGCAGGTCTAGCCATTCAACATTTGAAAGCCACCATTTGGATCAAGCCCCATATACTTTCTTGGCACCAGGAGTCATGCTAAGTACTTTATTTTTTTTTTTTTTAAAAGATTTTATTTATTTGAGAGAGAGAATGAGAGAGAGTGAGCACATGAGAGGGGGGAGGGTCAGAGGGAGAAGCAGACCCCCCGCTGAGCAGGGAGCCCAATGCGGGACTCGATCCCGGGACTCCAGGATCATGACCTGAGCCGAAGGCAGTCGCTTAACCAACTGAACCACCCAGGCGCCCCCATGCTAAGTACTTTAAATACCTTCTCCTGTGTCTAACAATAGATAAAAATGAAAATCATAGGACAGAAGACACTAAGCGTGTTTAATTTTATTGTCCAAGATTTATAGAAGCAGCTTTCACATTTGTGCTCTCTTACTCTGGTGAAAGAATGTAGTCTCTTCAAAAGAGTGCTTGATTAGGAGACCTAGATTCTGATCCCTGTTGCATTATTGTTAGTTTAGAAAATCAACCTCCAGAGCCTCCCTTTCATGATTTGTAAAATGGAGCTAAAACCACTTGTTATGTCTATTTTTAAGGTTCTTTTTTTTTTTTTTTTTTAAGATTTATTTATTTATTTGAGAGAGGGAGAAAGAGTGCTAGTGCACCTCTGGGGGTGTTCAGAGGGAGAGAAGTGGACTTCCACTAAGTGTGGACCCCAGTGTGGGGCTTGATCTCACACCTTGAGATCATAACCTGAGCCAAAATCAAGAGTTGGATGCTTACCCAGCTGAGCCACCCAGGTGCTTCTATTTGTCAAGATTCTTATGAAGATCAAATAAAAATAAGTATAAGCAAAGTCTGGAAAGAAGTTTAAGACAATAATACTTTAGGGGCACTTAGGATAGGTAGGAAGAAGTAGATGCTAGGAATATTGGTTTTTGAACACTACAAATTAGATAGTGTTTTAATACTAATTTCTGAAGATAATATTTCTTTCCATTGGAGAAGTAGCAATAGGGCAATGTGTGCAGTAACTAGAATGTACATGGTTTATTTTATTAACTTGGAATATTTTAACTGTTAAAAAATTACATTGCTTTGGATACTTTTGTTTTAAGAATAAATTGCATATGTTTCTTAGAAATATTCTGGAAAGTAGAATGCAAAAATTTACAAATGATCTTATTTAACCTCACATTGTAGATTAGTTTATTGATTAGGGTTTTTTTTTTTTAGTAATCTCTACATCCAATGTGAGGCTTGAAGTCACGACCCCAAGATCAAGAATTGCATCCTTTTCTGAGCCAGCCAGGCACCCCTGATTAGTGTTTATTTTGTGCTTTTGTGGGTTTAACATGGATTAGCTTTTAAACTAAAGCTATCTATATAGGGAAAATGGACACCTGAAAATTTATTTTTGCCTAAATCACAGCAATAAATGGGAAGAATTCACAAACATAGCTTTAACATTAATTCGTATATGCTGTATATGTAGAATAAGTGAAGGTTTTAATTATGATTTCTCTTTGTTCATTTCTGTGTGATTCAGTCTGAATCTAAACTTTATAATGGCTCGGAGAAGGATAGTTCTGCTTCAAGCAAGCTCACAAAGAAAGAATCTCTCAAGGTTAGTTTCCAGTTATTTCATAAATAACATTGTGCTTTGCATGTGCTTTTGAAAGTAGGCTAACAATAACAAGATAAATACCTGTCTCCTAAAGAAAGAAAAATAATATCCAGACAGGCACACATAAAGAATGTTAATATTTGTATGGCACGCTGGAGTCAACTGAAGAGGCTACTTGATGACTGTCGGGCGCTGCCTCCGGCCTCACCTGACCATTCCTTTGGCTGAGGACTGGACAGCTCTGCACACTTGAACCGAGTTGGGCACATCACTGTGTTGTAGAACGTGTTATGGGAAGCTCTGGTGCTTTTTGAAATTCAAGTTTACGAACTTGCAGGGTCGTGGGCTGAATTTGGCCCACAGGTAGATACATTTGTTTGATGTATACAATGTTTTAAAAATTTGAGGTAACAAATACAAGTTCAGCTTTCCAACCTCTCTTTAAGAAATATGCACTTGGGCTTGCCTTCCAGAATGGCCACGGATCCTGGATCTTAAGAAACACATGCTCTCTAATTGACTCTTATCCCTGCATGGTCTATTTTTACCCCTTTTTTTCTTATATCTGATCCTGTATGCATTTGCATTTGCAATCCCATATTAAATCTACTGTTACTCAGATATGCATATTAGTAAAGACCAAAAGTCTGAAGTTTTTTGGCTGTAGAATTATTTAAATTTTGTTAGGTGTATATAGTCTTTTTGTCGCTAAGTGTAAAACAGGAAGGTTTTATAGCTAAAAGAAATGTATCACTGATAGTTTATCACCACTTTTCCATCCATTTAATAACAAAGTAATAATAAGACTATATTAATCCACTGCAGCCTTCCCAGATTACCTCAGAGGTAACTTATGAAGGTAAAACTTTGATATTTTGAATGAATTAATATCATTTTATGATAATATCTTAGTATCAGGAAAGAGCAAAATTGCCAGTTGCAAACAAATGCAGCATTGTCTGCAATATGAAAAAACTGATAACAGAGTGGATTTCCATCAGTAAGAGAACTTAAGAAAAATTATAGAGCAGTAATAGCATGGTGGTTAAGAGCATGTCTTTTAGAGCCAGTCTGCCTTTGATGAATTGTGCCTCCATGACTTACTAGCTGTGTGATCCTGGGTAAGTCACTCTTTGTCCTTCAGTTTTCTCATCTGTAAAATAAGGATAATAATTGTCTTACTTTCTGGGGTTATTGTGAAGATAATGAGATAGTACTTGTAAAGTGCTTAGAACAGTAACTGGTATGCAGAATGTGTCCAGTTAACCCCCATGTTTTATTCATACTACGAAACTTATATAGCAATGAGGTAGGCATGGAAATGCTCCCAAAAATATTGAATGGGAGAACCTTTTTTAAAAAAATGTTTAAAAAACAAAACCTCAAAAGCTATATATTTCTGTAGGTTGTATACATAGAAAAAGCCTGAAAGGATAGTGTTTTCCAAAAGTGTTAATAGTGGTCCGTTCTGGGGATTGGGAATAGGATAGGGTCTAATAAAGCTTTTAGCTTTATTTGTGTTGTTTGAAATTCTTACCATAAGATTGGATACATGTAGTATTGTGTAATTAAAAAAAGGTAAATTCTTCAAAAAGATACAGAGAACTAGTGATCAGAAAAACTAGATTCTAACCTCTAAAAATTCCTACCAGCTCTTAAAAAAAAAGTTCTTTTATCCTAAAATGCTAGAATTCTAAAAGAGGTTTAGAATCTTATACTCTACATGTTATAGACCTAAATTTTTAGAAAGAAATTGCCCATTTCTAATGAATTTTTAATTTTTCTATTATTTTTGTAAAATAGGTGCAAAAGAAAAATTACCGAGAAGAAAAGAAAAGAGCCACAAAGGAGTTACTCAGTACAATCACAGATCCTTCTGTTATTGTTATGGCTGATTGGTTGAAGGTCAGTTTGTATTGAAGCTTGAATTCATATTGCTGGATGTTTACCTACTAGAATAGGAAAGCCCAGAGTGCATCTAAAGCCTTCAAGACAAAAACAACTCCTGGGATGATTGTTTTTCACTGGCAACCTATTAATTGTATCCCAGAGGTTCTATGTTCCAGTCTTAATGGGGAGAAGGAAACTTAACATTGTCTGTCTTGAAATAACATCAGATATGGATAGCAGTTCTTTTTAAAAGGCTTTTTGGTTTGTGTGACATTATATAGTCTAAAGAAATATTTTGCTGTTCAAACTATCATTTAGTATTATTGTAGACTTGTATGCATTATTGAGAAGATATTAAGCAAAGTTAATACAAAAGTTATCTTTTGGAAAGGATTAATTTTCAGAAAAACGTGCATATTGCTGTTTCCATACCTTATTTTGGCCTCTGGTTATTTCCACTATCTTTCATTTCCTTTTTTTAATCATCCCCCACTATCCTCTTTCTCACTCTTATCTGAAGGTTATTTAGTTGGAATCTTTCAGACTAATGCTGAGTTTAAGAATGATCTTGTTGAGACTCTGACTCCCAGGAAATTTTAGTACCTGACATTAATCTAAAAATCACGCCAGCCCTGAAAGTTTTCCACTCCCAAAAAGTTGGTACAACCTCCAATGTAAAATCCTTAGGAGATCCTTTGTGGAAATTCTCTCACTAAAATGGGAGCCTAATGATAGTTTCCTTGTTAGTTCAGGTAGTACTAGGGTCTTCTTCAGTGTTGTGCTGGAAACACATTCGACTTACTTTGACTGTCTTTAAGCTCCACGTCTCATTTGGGTTTTTCAGAGCTAAACTTCTTCCTCTTGTCTTCTGACATTGGATTCCTGCAGCTAACCCCCTTAAAGTCCCACCACATCCCCTGGCTGACTTTTCTAAATCATACCTTCATTCTGATATTTGCCATCCATGTTCTATTATCACATGTCCCAGTTCCAGAATGTTATCTTAGGATAACTCTTCCTTTTGCTTTTCTTGTCTTTCCATTTCTTTTACATAAACACATACTTTTCTCAAAGATTTTCTCTTCATTCCTGGCTCCAAACTCCCCCTTACTATTTTTTTTCTTATTTACAGTTACTGTGGTATGCCTATTTCAGGGGTTAGGGAGTCCTATATTTATTTCGTAATTCATAAAAGTGCTTTGAGAGAGCAGATGTTTTACAGTAAGTAAAAGTGAGGATAATTCCTAGTTTTTATTCTAAATATATTAGCATTCTTTTCAGTATTGTGAATTCAGTGACTTGCATAGAAACATTTTTAATGGATGACAGAAATAGAAATTGATAGGAAAAAACAGTTATAGACTTGTTATTGCCATCACATTAAATCCTGGGACGAGGAACATTTTGAGATTAGAGAGAGATTCAGGTAACTGTGTTTTAAAATTCCCCCAAGAACTGAAATGGCACAGTTTATGTAATTACTAAGAACAGAGTAATTTAGAGAAGGTAATTTTAGGGGTTGGAAGAGAGTTCTTCCCTCTTCTACCACTCAGTGAATATTTAGGGAATGCCTGGTGGTTGTGCTAGCAGCGATTTCAGCACTGCTGATATAGTGGTAGGAGGGAAACAATCTTAAAAGGTGGAATAATCTTGGGATGCCTGGGTGGCTCAGTTGGTTAAGTGGCTGCCTTGGGCTCAGCGGGGAGCCTGCTTCTCCCCTCTGCCTGCAGCTCCCCCTGCTTGTGCTCTCTCTCTCTCTGTGACAAATAAATAAAAATCTTTTAAAAAGGTGGAATTTTCTTATACTCCCACAAATAAAATTATGATAGTTGCTAAGAAGAGGAGAATCTTGGTACTAGGAAAGTATATTTTAATGGCTCCTGAGCTGGCCTGAGGGTTAGGAAAACCATTCTACTTGGCGCATTATTTTGAAACTGTTGACCTCGTCTCTGGCTAGACTTTAAGTTTCTTGGCGGCAGGAGCTATGCTATTTTTAGCTTTGCGTGCAGTGCTTACCATCTAGTAGCTTAAAAAAAAATCTACTGAATCTAAAGTGTATATTTTGTGGAAATTTTAGATTAAAACATCCTATTTGCCATTACTGAGTTTTTATATTGTGGAGCAAAAAGAGAAAAAGAGCTTTATTTCCTAAATAAACTTATCTTTCTGTAGATTCGTGGTACTCTAAAGAGCTGGACCAAGTTGTGGTGTGTTTTGAAACCCGGGGTGCTACTGATTTATAAAACCCAAAAAAATGGTCAGTGGGTAGGAACAGTCCTTCTGAATGCCTGTGAGATCATTGAACGTCCATCAAAAAAGGATGGCTTTTGTTTCAAACTTTTTCATCCTTTGGAGCAGTCTATTTGGGCAGTGAAGGTAAGTAAGCACTTGTTACATAGGTAAAAGATAAAGATGACAATCTGTGAGTTTCAGAGTGGAGATAAATCAATTAATCTAATGATTTCTGACCTCAGCCAGGACTTCTAAATTTGCTTCTGTTTCCAAGTGCATTATTCCTCTTTTTCTTTCTGCCCACGTTGAACTGTGTACCAAAAGGCTTTGTTTAGCTTTAAGATCTATCTTAAAAACTTTTGCAGAAAATGTTTCCCAAATTTTCATCATACTTTATAATGTGTTCTCCGTGGTGATTAAGTTTGTACTGTTTTTTTTATTGCAATTACTAACTTTGCTTTGTAATATTGTATCATATTTATAGTGTTTTTGTTTCTATCAAAATTATAAGATCTTCTAGAACGGAGCTGCCATTTATTTGTGTGGTCTTTCCTGTAGTGATGTAAATATGTGACTAGAAGCAGTCCTATGTACTCTTGAGGTTCAGCTGTCTTTGAAGATGGAGCTCTGTTTTAAAACTAAAAAGTATTACTGTGGTCACTTCTGTGTGTAAAAGCAGAAACTTAATCAGGAAAATAGGAATGCAGGGCACCTGGGTGGCTCAGTTGGCTAAGCGTCTGCCTTTGGTTCAGGTCATGATCCCAGGGTCCTGGGATGGAGCCCCACATCGGGCTCCTTGCTCAGCATGCACTACACACTAATGGAATAAATGGATTTAGTTTAAATTTTTACAAAGCAATCATTGTTTTAGTTTCTAAGATGGTCAATTATATACGGATAAGAGGGTTTAGAGGTTCTTCTTTAAGGGAAACCACCTAATTGAGACTTAGGGTTAAACAAAAGGAACTTCAGCTTTTAAATATTTTTTGGTATTGCTTAATTAGGCAATATACATACACCTATAAAACACCTGGACTTTTAACCTTTATTTCAGTAGCCTATAGTCGTAGCAGGACTAAATTTAGGATTAGAGAGTTAGTTCCATTCTGGGATTAGGCACTTCCTATAGGGAAAGAATTTAACCCAGAGAACCTCTGTTAATTATATATCATGTGATTCTCAAGTGAAAAAACAACTTTCAAAACCCTTTATGTATAGTATTTATTCTTTACTACTACTCTTAGGAATTGAAAAAATTATAATGAATTTTTAAATTATTAAAAAAGATTTTTAATGTCAAATTTATTGAATTCCCAATATTGTTGGGAGGGAAGGAAATTTGTCCAATTAGATGATCATCAGAACATTCTCCACAAGCAAAATATGCTTAGGACATTGTTTAAACAGCTTTAAAGTCAGTATCTATGATAAGGTAAAAGTAATATTTAACAGTTCTTACTTTGGATCTGGGACTCTTGAGCACTTTATGTGGACCCCTTTTAAAAATTCTCATACCTTTAAGGAGGTTGTAATTTTCCCTATTACCCAGATAAAGAGATTGAGGCCTAAAGGGGTTACTTAAGTAATTTTTCTAGCATGGAACCAAGCTCGAAACCCAAGCAGTCTGACTAGATGGTGGTTCTAGGAGTTGGCCCATAAGCTATTTGAAAATACCCAAGTGATACTACAGGATTTGTTAAAATTGACTTTTTCTTCCTTTTTATTTTGAATCTATATCTTCTTTATGTTTATGCTTCTCAAATTCATTTTATTCTTTGATCTTACAACTTAAAATTACACTTTGTCTATCAAAATTATACTGTTCTAGCCTCAGATTTTCTTTCCAGGGAAGAACTGGGTTCACCTGAAGAATTCCTCTTTCTTTCTGGAAGAATAAAATTAGCTTTTTTCATTGGTATTTTATAACAAGTATTTTATAACAATTGTATCAATGGTTGTAAAATAGAGATTTTTCCCTAGACCTAGTCAAAATTCATTTCTTTTTTTCTTGTAAATTATAGTTCCAGCTTT